ATATATATATATATATGAAAAAAGAAAGATAAATGTTCTCGTTAATGTGACATACAAATGTGTAACGACAATGTATTTCTTGTAGAGAGTTGGTATTCCGTAACTCCAGAGAGAATCGCCAAGCAGATAGCAAGGCGATGTAAATGTAATGTCATTGTTGATGCATTTTGCGGCGCAGGAGGTAATGCTATACAATTTGCATTCACGTGCAATAAAGGTATGTACATCTGTTGCACACTTTTGCATTATATTCTTCATTTCAAGAATAATTGTGTAAATGTGTACACAAGAAAATACACATTTCTTTGACAGTTTATTTTTTCTTACAGTGATTGCTATTGATATTGATCCAAAGAAAATCGAATGTGCTCGAAATAACGCAAAGATCTATGGCGTGGAAGAAAAAATTGAGTTTATAATCGACGATTTTCTCAAGGTGGCGCCAGGCTTAGAAGCCGACATTGTATTCCTAAGTCCACCTTGGGGTGGTCCCAAATATTCAGATTCTTCAGTATTTGATATCAAAACACTGCTCTCTGTAGGTGGAGAGAAGGTGTATAAAGCAGCTCGGCGAATATCAACGTCTGTGGCCTACTTTCTACCTAAGAATGTAAATATTAAACAGGTGAGAAATAAAGATTTGGTTTTATATTTTGCTTGTTTATATAATTATTTTTTCTCAGACACATGTTAAAAATATAATTTTATATTTATAATTTTAAATATAATTATATAGGTGAGAATGCTTGCCAGGAGGGGACATGGCATCGAAACGGAACAATATTTCGAGGAAAATAAAGCAATCGCAGTAACTTGTTACTATGGTGGATTGGTTGCAAAAACAGAAAGCTTGGAAAGTACAGAACAAATCTAATAATATCTAAAATTTAAAAAGCAAAAGAACAGAAATTACAAATACAACATAAGTCTTTCCTCCAAGATAAAAAAAAATGTAATAATATAATAATGTAATAATATAACAATGAAATTTTAATAAATAAATGAAAAAGGATATTTCTGTGTCATTTATTTGTGCTTCACCTTTGTGTTCTTCAAATACTTCACTCTTCATATTTTGTTATACATACAATACTATAATTATATTTATTAAAATATAGTTTAATATAGGAAACTAAACTTCTCATTTGTTCATGGAGAAGCATACAAATTTTTAGCATATAATTCTACGTTAAATTATATTTCGAGAAACTGATAATATCGAACAAAGAGGCTAAAAAAAAGTGAAATAACCAAAAAGAAATAAATGTTGTCTCATCAGTTTCTAGGTTAGATTAAATTAAATTATAAATAATGTTTATGTGTTAACAATATTTATATTCCTTCAACACGCAAGGTTATTAACAACTTTTTTTCTCTTCAGAGGTGGCTACAGATTGCCCGAGTTTCCTCCTATACGTTAATATCGAATGACTTTTGACACTTAACAACAAACATGATCGTACCGATTAAAAGGTAAATAGTTTTCATATATTAAGTAGTGTAATAATGATCGATAAAACTGATTGTAATAATCTTTTTACGAAAATAATTAACGTATTATATATAAGTTGTATTATGTAGGAAATTTAGGTTATATGGAAGTGCTTAAACGTGACCAGATACGTCAAAAAAATGTTTGTTACGTATATATATATAATTATCAACTATATTTTGCCGAGACAAAAGAAAAATTTGTAATTACATATTTTTCATGCAAATTAAATTGTTTTCTCTATCACTTTCAGGGATGGAGTTATAGAAGATTGGGTTATTATAGATCTTCAGGGTGATTTGAATTTCGAGAAAGTTGAACATCCAAATGATCAATTAGTCGGAGACCTTCATTTTACCAAAACTGGAACACCTATTTTAATTATTGGCATTCATGTACTACATGGAAAACAAGTAGCGCTTGAAAAACCTCTGGTTGTATTAGAGAGACATCGTGACAACATAGGAGATGAGATAATAGGAGAGGAAAATACAACAAAGACGGAGTACAAAGTAAAAGCTATTGTAAGGAAGAAACTTCTGTTTAGAACAAGGCCGAAACCCATAGTGACTAATGTCCCAAAACCATGCTAAACTTCAGGACCTAAATTTAAATAAACTCATACTTAAGAGATATCTTGTTTATTGATTTATTATATCACAACTTAATTAAATTATTAGTATAAAATGGTTAATCTTGATTAAATTTAGTCCTTCATTTCTCCCTCTTCATCTTCTTCCTCCACTCCTCTTATGTACATAACATTGTTACATCTAATTAGCACTTCACCAAGATTTCCAGTGCAAGTACCATCTATATGCTCCTCGGTGTTTGCAAGTTGTAGATTCATATATCCATCCACCGAAACTAGATAGCCTTTGTATTCATGACCCCATTTTAATTTGACCATAACTGGTTTCCCAGTTAAACCATTTAAGAATGGTTTGGGATTTATGGGCATTGTTGCAGCCATGGTGGAAAATAACAATCTATATGCAAAATACATTCACACTATGTAATATTATGTTTTAACTACAGTACATATTATGTTTTTACATACAGTCTAAGAAATATTTAATATTACTTAGCAAAAATTTCATGACATAATAATTCTTTGAAAATTGCTTGATGAATATATTGAATTATTGAAGTTTGTTACACAAAAATATGTAATATGAAAATACACAATTTTATACAAATATCAATATATTTTCTACATGCTAATTAAAGGTTAAAATAATGAAATATAATACGAACGACGAAATAACAGTATTATATAGCTTAATATTTTAGTATAAGAATGTATGTTATTTTATAAATATAAGGCATGCACTTACTTGTTAGAAATATAAGAGATATAAATAAAATGTTGTCCAATCTTTCTCTAACCTTAAATAACTACGACAGTTATCTTTCTCTTTCTGTTTTGGTTGCAGGCTTGCGTCCACGACGAGTTCAGATCAGTGTTGCTAGGTGGTTGAAAAATTAGGAGGTAGATGGCACACCAAAAAACAGTAGATTTGAAATTTAAAGCGGTAGATCTTTTATTTCAGAAGTTTCGTAAAATATAAGACATAAAACTGATAGTTAAGAAAAAAATATTCTAATTATAACCTAAAACAACTCAATAGCAAATAAAAGAGAAATTATACTTATAATGAAAAGTATACTCGTAGTTTTTTCTGTAATTTTTATTTAGTCTCACTGAATATCACAAATTTTGTGTAAAACTGGTTAACAGAAAAAATATTTTAATTATAATAAATAATACGAAAGTCAATGCGGGATGGGAACGTAGAGTTTCTAGGGACTCTAGGGTCGGTATTGATAGTCCGATCTTATATTTAAGATCATCTTAAGGCTGCGTTCGGAAATGTCACTCGAATACTTTCTTCTCTTTTTATCTCACGCTTGTATCTCGCTCACTCCTACGTAACGGGTACACGGGTGACGTTTCCGAACGTAGCCCAAATCTTAAGATGTCATGAACCAATCACAAAGCCATATTCACATCTTAAGACATTACTTAAGACGGACTTGAAATAAGATTCGACTATAGCTGCGTTCGGGGAGACGCTATTTACCGCTATGAGTGTGCTCTGTCCTTGTTTGTTCCTGAACAAGGATAAAGGACGTTCATAGCGTTAAATAGCGTCTCCCCGAACGCAGCCTATAAATACCGGCCTATGGCCGGTATTCATAGTCAGATCTTATATTTAAGATTGCTTAAGTTCATCTTTAGATACTCCGTAGCCAATGAAATAACTCGTACATCATCTGAAGATAATCTTAAGCGGTCTTAAATATAAGATCCGACTATGAATATCGGCCTATGAGCGTGTAACGGTGCGCCCTCTGTTCACAGCATTGCTGTTAGAAGTTGCCAACTACATAAAACAGAAAATTACAGCACTCATTCTCTCACTAACAAGACAAAAAATACACATTATATACAGTTATCTCTGTAGAGTATTTATTAATATAAGTTCTATTAGAATTCTGTAACACAGTTTATAATAACATTAAATATGTTTAGTAAATCGAAATATCCTCACTAATGAACTTAACCTCTAAGTTTGTCATCAAAACAATTACTTCTGTACATCATCGACAATGAATATTTTACCAAAGAAAAGGTATGAGCAGTTTATTAGAAGCGTCATTTACATATACTCTTTCACTTATTTTTCTAATCATCCGTTTTATATTTATTTAGGTGGCATGTCCGAACGAAAGAGAATATCGCTCGTGTACGTCGAGATGAAGCAAAAGCTGCAGAAGAAGAAAAGATTAAGCAGGCGCGAATTCAAAAAGCTGTATGCAATGAATTATTATTCAACATTTTAATCACATGGAAATTTTGCACTTTAAATAAAATTTCATCATAAAAAGATTTGATAATACTGAAGGAAGCTATCATTTTTTAGCACTTTATAATTTTCTACTTGAGAGTGATGATTCATATTTGTGTTTTACATACCATTATACCATTATAATTTTACTATTACATACCATTATAATACTTTAAAGTTTCACTCAAATTGGTGAAAAAATCCTTTTTCTTCAGTATTATCAAAGATATTAAATTTATTCTCTTGCTTTTTTAAAATTATTAATTACAATTTAGTACATGTTTTCATGTTATTTTAGGAAACAGAAGCAAAAGTAAATTTTTTGAGACATCAAGCAAGGTCTAAATATGATGGTCGTGCGGAGGCCAATGTTAGTAGCACAAAATTGGAGCATGTCAACTTCTTTGCTGATCTGGAAGATGGTAAAATTGACCATAACAGGCCAAATGCTGAACATGAGAAGGAGAAGAAGGAGGAGAAGGAAAAATATGAGAAGCAAATTGGTTATTTAACATATCTGGGACAAGATACAAATGAAGCAACAGGAAAGAAGAATTGGTATGAGGAATTACCAAAAAGACTAATAGATACAGAGAAGAATGTAGAATTAGAAACAAAGAAAAAGATTTTAATTGATCCAATGGTAGACATAAAGAGGTACCTAACTGTTATGCATTCTAAGTCTGCCAAGGATCAACCAACAATAAAGACAGAAACTGTTAAACGAAAACCTGATTCTGATAATTCTTATTCTGATCAAGAAAGTCAAAGTACACACAAGAAACATAAAAAGGATAAAAAACATAAGCACGAAAGAGAAAAATATAAAGAATTAGTTAAGAAGGAAGCTAAAAATCAAAATATAGACATAGAGAAACTAAGGACAGAAAGATTGATGAGAGAACGAAGTGAAAAGTTAAGAACAGAAGCACTAATGGCCAAAGTAAGAGGTGATCCGATGCCTGTTGTAGCATCTGAAACTCCTAAACCAGCGATAAAACAGAAATATAGTTCGCAATTCTTTCCTGAAATTGCCAGACAGAATATGGAAAGGACACCTAAACATACATAATTTGTTAAATATAGCTTCTTATCATCTTTTTCCGAATAATCTATATTTATAATTATTGCCGTTATTTTTGTTCTTATGTGTTATCTTTTCGATATGTACATAAAAAAAAATATATATATGTATAAAAATAACAATCTATATATATCATTGTAGATATATGTGAAGTTGTACGTTGTCACGTGACAGAAAATGGCGCATTATGGCAGATTTCGTATATAATGTGCTAGAACTCGACATTTACGTTTTTCTCCGACATCCAGACCATATCTTTTAAGAATAGTTGCAGTTGTCTGTGAATACGTGCTGCTTTTCCACATGTCATCGGCTCGCCGATGATTCACATCTATTCTACACGTGAGCACCCGAAAATCTCGAACCAGACGCCCGTACGTACGCATGCACGTACGCACGAGGTATATCTCCAGGCACAATTTCGAATTCGAATATTTGCGAATGCATGTGTTCTATTTATGCGTTGAACCACGTCCAACATGAAAATACGTCGATCCTGATCTTAATTGCCGCTTGGTACAGCTACATTGTTGACCGTCGCACAGAGATAACCTCATCGGCTAGCATAAATAGCTGGACATTCTATCGATGATTAATTAGATTATTTTATAATTTTTATTATGAACGGAAAAACAAATGCAGACGTGTCCTACTTGAGTTGTCAGATAAATGGAACGAAATATATTTTGCAAACTATACCAGATACAAGTATAAAAGATGCGATACCCAGCGAAGAGCAAGATACAATTGATGTTGAGAATGACACCGAACTGGAAAAAGACGAGGAATCGATTCCTTTAGCTTCTTTGGACGGAGAAGTATGGTACGCGTTACAAAACGGAGTGTTTCAAGAACTGAACATCAGTCAATTTATCGATCAAGGAAGTTGTCATGAAAAAACATTCTTAGTGCCAAAGGATGTGGAAAACTGTGCGGATGAATACATTAACAATGGAAATATAATATTTGAAGATGGAAATGAGCCATCTGAAGAACAATATGAAGTTGTTACAGATAATTTGGAAAAAGATTTCTTTATGGGAAAAGACAGTCTTAATTGTAATGATTTTGTAGAAGTTGTAACTGCCTTCAAATGCAAAATATGTACTTATACGACTCAAGATAAAATGGAGTTATTGGATCACTTTCAAAATACACACATAAATCCTACTGTAGATATTGAGGTAAATAATAATAATATCCAGATATAAATTAGAATTTGTAATATTAAATGAAGAAATCTTATGTTTATTTGAATTTTGCAATGTGATATTAATTACATATGTTCTGTTACATATTATACAGCCAAAAGAAGAATCTAAAAACACAAGCGAAGCAAGATTAGTTTATATGTGTGGGGAGTGTTCTAACTGCTATTCTTCTATTGAAAGTTGCAAAGAGCACATGATTGAGGTATTAAATTTTATTTTTTAATCGTAAACTGCTTCTATATAAACGATATGATAAGATGCATTATTTTTAGGATCATCAACTAACGGACACTGTAGCTGATAAATCTGAAAAGGAAAATTTAACAAATGACTTAACAGGCTCTACTTTAGTTACTGAACATGTACAGGAGTGTGACGAGAGTGTCGAAGTAAAGCATGAAGTAAAAGTGGCAAAAACCTTAAGCTCGGAATACATACTCAACAGAAAGATGATCGAATTAACAGAAAGAACTGTGAAGTATGTAATTAAAAAAAAAGTCTTGATATATAGAACTTGGTACATAGAATTACATATATGTCCTATTTATTTTATTTAAAAATAGTATATATTTTTCACAAGATGTTCGTATCGTGGTTGTCCATACAAATTTGCCACAGAGGAGATTATGCACCAACATGTCCTCTGTCACATAGAATCCCAAACTGTAACGACATTCAAATGTAGCGTTTGTCGTGATTTAAAGTTTACAAAATGGCGCCAGTGTAGTTTACATTTGTGGAAAAAGCATCAAATTGGTATGTATACAATAACATGGGGTAAGCAATTCTTTTCTTTAAATGAGTCATCGATTGAACGCGCAAATTATCTTTTTTCTAGACGTAGGTTTATTTACATGTAAAATATGCAAAGCCTATAAAAGCGCTACCATGGTAAAACTCTTGACGCATATGAGGGTGCACAGCGAGACTCGTGAGTACGAATGTTCCGAGTGCGGGAAATGTTTCAAGCAAGCCAGTCAATTGCGCAATCATCGTGTGATGCATTTGGACCGCAAAACGCTAGAAGTAACGCGATGGTACACTTCTAAAAAGTGTGATATATGCGGCAAGACCTATGCGAACTCGAAATGTTTGAAGAATCACATTCAAGCTGTACATTCAAAATTACGGCCGTACGTTTGCAATGTCTGCGGTCATGCTAGTGCGAGAAAGGCAATGTTGCAAATGCATTACCGTCAACACACGGGAGACAAACCTTTCAGTTGCGAGATATGCAAATATAAAACCGGAGATCACAATACTTTACGGCGGCATGTTATGCAACACACGGGTAAATATTACATATATGATACATTATTAGCTACGAAGAAACTATACAATTTTCCATTACAGGATTTCGACCATATAAGTGTCCGCATTGTCCGTATACTGCGATACAAAGCAGTAGCTATAAAAATCATTTGAAATCCAGGCATCCTTTGCTTTCTGGTTTATTCACGTGCGAGTTATGTCCTTTCAAAACAGTAAAGAATGAAAGCTATATTCAGCATTTGAGAGATCATGAAAAGGGTTTGATTAAACATAATACACAGAAGAAAGGTAATATTATGCAAATCTTAATCAAATTGCCCACTACAAATTAACAAATATTTTTCAAACGAATTTCCTTTATCGTTTTTCAGACAGTGAAAATGTCGAAGTGTTTCCTGGCAATATCGCAGCGGCACAATTGATTTACAGCTGTTTAGGTGCTTTCTCGAAAGTTGGAGATACATTAGAAGCTAATTTGATGTCTTCCTCAACATCCGCTGATGGCACCTCACAAACAATCACGATACAAATACCGTCAAAACATCTTGAAGGCTCGCTGCCAACCAGAGAAACTTTATACAAAAGTAATTCGATCGAGCAAGACGATGACGAGACGATGCATTGCTTTTTAAAAATTCCTAGAGAAGAAGAAGAGAATATAGACACTGGTGGTATAACGATACCTGCAGAACCCGAAGAAGCGAGCATGACAACTATTGATGTTGACAATGAAATTGTTGATGTTGACAATGAAATTGCATGAAATTGTACAATAATTACAAACTATTAAATTTATCTTTGATATATTCAAGAAAAATGATTTAATATTCCAATGATACGCCCCATTGAGAAAAGAGGAAAAAAATTACAAAATGTTTAGCAAGTTTAAAAAAATAATATATTCCATAAAAATAAAATCATTTATTTTTCGTACAATTTGATGTTTGCATTCTTAAACAGATAGAAACACGTTTTCTGGGTTTGATAATTCTCAAGAATATTCTGTCTACAAAAGCCAAATCATACTAGCAATTGGCGATTGATAATTAAAGATTAGATTTTAACGAATCAACAAGCTTCAGTCTTGGCTTGCTTTGTTTCAATTGGTCAAGTTCCAATCTTCAATCGTCAATCATCTATCGCCAATCGCTAGTGTGATATGGGCTTTAAGTCTGTTCTTTTTAGTTGAACTTGTACAGTAGATAGGCGAGTTGACCAACCATTATTACAAGAATAATCGACTATGATTGGTCAACTTTTTACGGTTCTGGCGTATAAGTTAATGGATTACGGCCATCATAAACCGGCTTTACTGTCCACTCATTGTAAATGGCCCTTTAAAGAGCTACAAATGGAGGATTCACACTACATCGGTACACTGAAATATATACTATTTGGAACGCGCGCTACCTCTTGAGGAGTGCAGGATGAGAGAGAGATTCCTTGTTTCCTCTCTTATCCTTGCCTGGTTCATAGCATAGTCGAGAATGAGGAGAATGTGATACAAACTAGGTTTGTTCGCTTCGCATGCCCCAATTGGTTCGCGTGGTGACGTGAACCAATCAGAGTGCGTTGAAGCGAGTAGGAGCACGTTTGGGGCATGCGACGTGAACAAACCTTCCAAGTTAAAAGTTAGAGATAATATGAAAAGCAGTGACCACTGAATGGCAATAACTTAAACTTATGAACAAAAGCTTAAGATATAAAAAAAATATATATTTTTTCTCATTTATTAATATTCACTTATCGACTTATTATTAAGAAAAATTATAATTATATATTTTGTATCAAAAATATTTTTATTAAAGGTAATAACATAAAAGTATTTTGCCATTCTAAATTAATTAGCTCCCAAATAACACAAGATATTCCAGAATCATCCTAGAGTTATTCTAGACGTCTAGTATCCCAATATGTTCTCAGGCATTTTATGCTATTGGAGTTATTTTCATTTATTTATTTTCATTCTGTACATATTCAAATGGAAAGGATTACTATTGTAACAATAATTTCCATTATCAAAAAGTATATCACTTCTTTTTACTATAAAAGTAAACTCCACAGTACAAGTTGTGCGGCCTTGTGATCATCGTTCTTATATATATATATATATATATATATATATATATATATATATATATATATATA